CGATGCACACATCCCATCAGCTCTCTATACGCGTAGTTGGCAAGATATCTGTGGGAAATGACATCTTGTAGGTCTAAGTGCGGATCCTGTGTTTAACGGTAACAAAGCTGGAAGGACAGTAGATGTTTCTCGTAATAATACCCGCTACTTGATTAGCAATATGAAGGTAGCATTTCGGCTTTTGGCAAGGGTTTGTCTTATTTCCGCGCTTATAAATTGAGCATCACTCTCCGCGCTAAAGAGCGAGCTACTTGCCTACAGGTACGTATCTAAGGTATTTACCACATACAACATGCACTAGATGGTGTTGACGTGCTTGGTGCAATACTTTACGTAAGTACAAAGATTCCGATCCGATGAACATCTTGGAAATATGAGCAAGCAGTGAATGCTTTCCTAGGGGTAATATTTTATCGAGATACGATAGCATCCTTGCCTATAAGGAATATGATGCTTGATGAGTCCTGTAGCTTCTCGGCCGAACTAGATAGATCACCGATTACCTACCTAGGTACCTACCTACCTATACTATTGTAATCTGATCTGATGTTGAGACTTTAGCATAAGCCTCTTATTGTTATTATCACGTGAAGCATATAGGCACTAATCTTGATCATATGGCTATTAGCATTTAAATGCCTCAATGAATGCATAATATGGTGTAGTTGATAATACGCAAAGATGATGTTGAAGAGTGTTTTCATAGCCCTGAACGCCACACAATACCTTCCTTAAAGGCGTTGAGCCTATTGAGCTCTAACATGCATTCCCCATACCGTGTTCCTGGATGAGCTTGATGTTGAGATCCCACGCTTCAACCCCAAAACGCCTCAAATGCACATCCATATCTACCTGTAGATATGTACCTAGTCCTATCTTGTAATCTACCTGTATGTCCTGTTCAGTCCAACAAGACTTAGAAACTCGTTCCTAGTCTTTTCTTTTCTCTCGAAACAGCCGAGCACGCAACTGGTGATTGTGCTGGTTGTCGTCTTTTCAACACCCCGCATGACCATGCTAGAATAATGGTGGTCAGTGCCTCATGTGAGAGAATAGGAGGTGGTAGAATGGTACGTACCAGAGATGGCTTGATTCCATCACAACTGCCACACCCTGAGGTTTTAGAACCTCCATGATAGCATTGGCAACTTCTCTCGTTAGTCTTTCCTGTACTTGCAGTCGGCGGCTGAACATTTCAGCGATGCGCGGTAGCTTAGAAATGCCGATAACATTGTTATTCGGAATGTAACCGATGTGCATCTAATAGAAAATCAGAATACAACGTAAAATAGCGAATTGGGACGACCGACCTTCCCAGTAAAGGGCACCAAGTGATGTTCGCAGAGGCTGAATATTTCTATGTCTTTCACGATAACCATCTCGTTATGGTTCTCGTGGAAGATAGCATTGTTCACAATATCCCTGACGTTCTGCTGGTATCCCTTTGTGAAGAAAAGCATCGCTTTTGCATATCTTTTCGGCGTATCGAGGACGCCCTCTCTGTCGGGGTCTTCGCCAACACACTCCAGAATCGTCCGAATGGCTCCTCGCATTTTCTCTAATCTCTCGGCTGCTTGCTCGGAGCTCTCCTCGAGTCGTTCTCGGGTCCCCCGACCTGAATTATGTAAGTGGTGGGAATTATTCATTGAAGAAGCTCATATAACATACTCGGCCGGCTCAGGCCATCAAAGTCAATGACCGGACTGGGTGACCTAGTTTCTATGCCCTCGGTCTTAGCCTTCTTGGGCTTCTTTCCTCGAGGCTCGTCCCTGGGATCTCGTGCTGCTTTGCTGATGCTATTCCTTCTCTTTAACGACTTTGAACGCCCATTGATCTCTGATATGCCTCCATCTTTGATTCTTCTTCTCTTATCCTTCTTGCTGGCCCTTCTATCGTCTCGAATTTGATCGTGCTCTTGTCTTCCGCTGTCATTAACGGAATCGTCAATATCGGAGACTCCTGTAATGGAGCTGGTAGAAGAATCTATGGTTGCCATTGCTAAATCGTTGAGCTTTGGGTCAGCGAATTGTACTACTTTCCTTTTCCCTAAACGAGGCGTCAAACTGGCGCAAGAACAGTATAAGAGGGGGCGTTTCTGGGATTAAGAGTAGGGAAAGTTACCATGAGTACCTAGGTACCTAACCTAATGTATGAGCTGACGGAGCAGGAAAATCTGACTGTAAGTTCCAATCAGCTCAATCAGGTCAAGCACATGTGTAATGCGCGGAGGCAAAGTCCTTGGTGCTTATGGCAGCTGAGATGGGATCTTTTTGAATCCTACTCTAATGCAAGCTTTATTAGGATTTGCAAGTATCGAAAAATCAACTCTTCAATTGTCCGTTATCGCGTTTTTGTCTTATCACGCTCATACAGTGGTACAATACTGTAAGGGCTACCTAAAGTCCCATTATCTTCCAATTCATGGGGTTAGCTTCGGCCTATGTACCTAGGTAGATAGTGCTTAACATCAATTAGTGCCTTAAGAGAAGCCATGTACCTAGGTATTTATATACTTAAACGCATAATGATGTTTGTACCTTCTTCAATTGCCTGCTTGCCTGTTTGATTCCTTAGGAGGTACCTAGGTAGGTACCTGTGTAGTACATAAGTAAGGGCTCTGATTGTATGCCCCATGTGGCTTGAGTTTGTGTACCCGTCAGTGGCTCAAAGCTCCTTCGTCATTTCCAATAGCATAGGTAGGTTTCCAATAGCATGCACCATTTATCAAAAGTTCCTTAGCAACAACAACTCTCCGATTACCATTCTATTAGCCATCCACCCTTTTTACACAGCATCTCCAATTAAGCCTATTAAATCCCCAACCAAACTGTTCAACGAAAACATTTGCTAGTTTTCGCATACAAATTGACTACGTTATCTACCTAAGAGTTCGGAAGCTCAGATCCGTCGCGCCCTCTAGAGACTACGAGTGGGCTTCACTAAACTAGGCCTCTAAATAAGACAGCATGGCATCCCCTCCGCGCGCCTACTCGCCTGCGGGTTCTCCGCCATACTCTTCTAGCGCGCAGTTGCCATCGAAGAAGCGTGGCTCCACAAGTGCCGATCTCTCATCTCAACCGCCCTCTCTCAAACGTCGCAAAGCCTCTGTCATGTCCGTAGCCTCCGTAGGCTCAGCCCACCCTCTTCGACAGACATCCTTTCCGCCTGACGAATCCCAAATCCAGGCCTTCTCCCCGTCCTATAGACGATCTCCAAGTGTCGATACCATGAGTCTCGTTAGTGGTAGTCAGGTTAGCGGCGCGCCCGCAAAGAAAAAACGCGGTAGGAAGTCGAAAGCGGAGCGCGCAAGCGAAGCGGCCGCCGAGGCCATGAGAGATGGATCTCCAAGCGTTGTAGGAGGTCGCGCACCTACTATCCTTAGTAATGTGAGCGGTAATCATGCTGGGAAGGACGCCGATCCAGACTCTAGGAAAGAAGAGGAGTTCGAGATACCCGAGAATATGGCTAGCATGTCTGCTGCTCGGACTAAGGAGCAGATCGAAGAAGAGAAGGAGCTAAATGCGCTTCTCAAGACGCAAATGGATGCACTGCAGTTCGACCGGTATGAGGTTTGGCATCGCCAAACTCTCAAGAACGCAGACGTTAAAAGGGCAAGTTGTCATACCCTATGCTAATGGCTCCCCCAGCTGATTATAGTATAACTAACCGTCTCCATCCTATATAGCATATAAATAGTGTCACGTCGCAGTCGTGTCCCACTAACGTCCATCAGATGATGCAAGTAGTCTGTAAGATGTACCTGGGAGATGTCGTCGAGTCCGCACGTGAGGTTCAACAAGAATGGATACAATTAGGCGAGAAGCAAACCGACTTCTCTGACGATGATCTTCAACCTGCGAACGAGTTATCGAAACACCGCCGACAAGCCCCCTTACGGCCCGAGCATCTTCGAGAAGCATATAGACGCCGCAAGGCTGCTACTGAAAACGGTGGCTCTTTAGGGAGCTTGATGGTTTGGAACCAGCAAACGCAAAACGGAGTCGAAAGGTTCGCGGTAAGAGCAGGTGGCCGTCGAATATTCAAATAATGATGTTCCGTTGTGAGAATCATCTCCACTTCGACTTCAGACGGCACCAGAGTTCAATGCTTTTGAATATTGAGTATATCTTACTCACAGGACCCACTAGTATGACAAAGGTATTGTTTGTAATCCATAATATGCTTATAATAATTGCCATGTCTAACAATACCTTCTATCTCTTTAGGTTCTTTACCATGTACTAGTAAAGAGAGTACCTATACTGCTTAATGACCAACGCGGCATGACCTTGCAACACTGCACCTGAGTTCCTAGTCCCTAGTCGGATCGATGATACGGGTTCATTCGGCTCCAAGTAATTCGATCGACCATATGCAGGATTGGATAGGAAAGGAATAGATCAAACGACCACAGACAGCTAGATGACTCAAACCGAGAGCACACCCAGAACTGTCCTGAAATGTATACTTAAATATCGCTCTACAATAAGTTGGAGCAAGGAGCTGGTCTTCTGATGGCTGGTACAAGCGTCAAATACCCTACATAGCATTTGGTATCTGATAGGTAGCAAGGGTACATCCCCTTACAGTATCCCCAATACTACACCGGGGTCCCTGATCTACCTCAGTAGGTAGAAATATGGGATTTTAACAATACATCAATTGCATTAGTTTATGGAGTAACTAGACGTCTACAACTTGTAGTTTTATATCTAAATTATTACGACGCCTAGTCCTTGAGTACTCTCGGTATATGAAGCACATAATCTACTAAGCATTGCAAAGCTGGCTGGATACTTCTAAGTAGGTACCTAAGATACCTATTGCAGCTACCTCATTCTTGAGAATAATATTTTCTTAACCTTGACAGCGTACTGAAGAGGTGCATATCAGATTTGTCCCTCATTTTTCACTCGAAAAAGCTGGCTTCACAGTGCCCCACTATATGGGTACCTCGGATTATAAGGTATTTTGAGAAGGCTTTTTGTACAGCACATACCGCCCTTATAGCTCAGTGGTAGAGCGCAGCACTTGTAATTCTTCATCTGAAGATTCTTATAGGTCCATGCTGAGGTCCATCGTTCAATCCGGTGTGGGGGCACAATTATCTTTTGCAACTTTCTTTTTTTTCTAATTGTTTTTATTCTAACTCTTGAAGATACTCTTGGACTTCTTTTGATTTGCTTCTTCCTTTTTCCCCGTTTTATTTAGGGGATGGATATCTGTTCAGCTTGTGTTGTCTAGGTAAACAACACCAGTTAATCTCCGGATTTCTTCGTCCTTGGTATGACTTCAAAATACATTGCGAAAACGGTAAAGCAATCCGTGTTTATTTATCTCTACTTGCTATGTATGAAAAGGTCATGTCGAATGACAGGATTTGGGCAACTATTATAAAAACAGTATCGATTGATTGATTGGCCTTTTCCTAAGCAAGCAACCATGATCACCAATCTTCATTATTATGACATATTTGTCGCCTCTATTATCACGATGTAAAATAATTGTTCAGATATGAAGGAATTAATGCGTCATCATGTAAAAACTACCTAACTTACTTTAGTTTGCATTTACATCATGTGGAATATGCGAATATTCAATCGCAACTCCGATGTGGTTAGTGTTTAACTGAAATGCGGGCTAGTAGACATCGTATAAAGAAAGTTATAAGGAGGCCACCGGTTGGCTAAACGACATACATACATATATATCTCTCTCAATATATCATCAAGTCGGTAAGATCCTTGTAGTGGCAGGTGGGTGGTAACTTATAGGGATATTTCGTATGAAGAACTGACTGACATTTGGTTGAGTGGGACGAAAATGAAGTAGAATGGATGAGTGAGGTACAGATAGACGCTCTTAGGCAACATAACCCTGGCATGTATCTACTCTACTACCTCTTGCAGCCGCGTGGGAAAAGAGCCCATTCATTCTAATCGTTGAAATAGAGTTGCCTGGATCACAGTCCGGAAAAGCTGCCAATCAAAGGCATGGGACCTACATTGCGATAGGGGAGGTCTGAGTCTTGAGAAGACTACACGATGGTAGTCTCCTATGATTGGCGCATAGAAGACTTTGCCTGCAACGCCAAACAAGATAACCCCATTCCCAAATACGTTAGCAAAGGATTCTTCTGGATCAATATGTCCATCTCCGCCAGTTGTCTTGCTACATTATTATCGTACGTCCCCGCGAGCCGCCAATCTTACTATCTATCTATCTACCTAGGTAGGTATCGGTGAACCTTTCAGGCTAGCTCCAACTTCCCGTCAGCCTAATATAATACCCTTTGTCCTATTCCTCCGCGCCTATGTTGAAGTCAACAGGCAGAGGAAGGCCGCTAAGCAATCTAGGGGAAGAGAAAGCGAAATACCAAGGGCCTCCTCAGTTGGCTCTCGGGAGTCTATGATCCACGTTCTGGAATTGGACTCGAAGGCTGGACAACGGAGCGATACCTACGATGCAAAGATCCATCTCGAAAACTAGTAGCGCAGTGAAACTTGATAGCGAGCTCTTTGGCGACTGCGATAATATGCAAGAGGTGGGATCCAGAGCAGACCCTTTTTTATCACAAGCGTACGGAAAGAATATACACTAAAGCAATAAATGGTAGTGGCTGTTGAGGAAGTTTAAAATACCAACTGGGATAAAGTGCTGGTAGCACGGAAATAATATTCATAACAGAAAAATAAATGTCTAGACAAAAAATGTAGACCAATTTTATGAGAGGTTTAGGTAGGTAGATTATGGACGACTATCATCGAGATACTGAGTTCAAGTGATGATACAAGGAAGAAAGAATGTGTGTAATACCTATGTAGTAGCTACGCATCTTAGTGAGAGGCTTAGTCATCAAAGGGGTCACTCCTGAATCATGCAGCCAAGTAGATACCTTAGGTTAGGCTAGGTACTTGATATACTACTGGTCTTGTTCAATGGCACTTCTTCTGGATCTAGGCATCAAGTATGCAGTGTGGGATATCATGAAGGGTTTTATTTGTCAGTATCATGTCTCATGTATCATTTGGATCATTGATTTGTGATGAATACTTTCTGTAGAACATTAGACATTGGGTAGCGTAGTAAGTTTGATACTGCTCCAGCAAGTGGTGATATTCACAGCAAGGGGCTATGTAACAGGTATGTAAGTGTGCCTGGCCGACGGCAAAAACATTGTTCTGATGCCGAAACCTCATTAGATGGCGAATATCCCGGTACTGCACCGGTTACCCCTTTTTCATCGACATACTTCCCATATATGACGGGCGAATATGGCTATACCATGCCCATAGCCGTATATCGCCCAAAAGGTCCGTAAATGAAATTTCTCGAGGTTATCAAAGAGTAGGGTTGCTAAGATACGTGCTGACCGGTGGCAGGCTATCTCAACATTTTAGAAAATCTCAGAAATGTTCCTCAGGCCACAGAATACCTTATCGCATCCCGCCAAAGACCCCATAGTGGGCTATTGATGATCTCCATAGATCTTCGTATGCTTTTAGAGAGGTTAGAAAATATCAGCAGTCGACGGAGAAGAGAAAATATGAGGTAGTCGTCCGGTATATATCTCCAATGGTCACTGAGCCTTAATTCCCCCTCTTCTCATCCTAATACCTCAAACTATACTAATTTGAAAGATTTCCGAGATCTGAAGTATGGCATCTAATGGAAACTTTAGGTGGCTTCCATCTGTTTCAATTGCGGCCCTTGGTGCGATTGGGTAGAGAGGAGGTACCAGGAATAGTCATATTTTAGGTCCGGAGCCCCCACTTATGTATAATAACATCAACACATGCGAGCGGACGATCCGATTGTGTGATAATATTAGTTGCGGTAGATGAGCATAGGTATTTAGGTTGGGTTGGAATAATTCACTACCGCCAAGATAACATTGCGTATCGCGTCAAAAATAACCGATAATGGTGTATAATGTCGTTGGAGCCGGTTATAGAATCAGGGTCAGGGGTAAACGATGATTGTGCTAGGCGGCCAATAATATGACCGATTACGATATTGAAAAGGGATGTAATGAACAAATGCTAGAATAGTGTATCGTTTCATATTTCATATTCAAGGAAAGGCTTCGAAGTATTGTATAGTAACCAACCCCTTTGCTATGAAGGATATGAGCGTCGAAAACAAGCAAAAGCGGACAAGTAACGAGGGGGATGTATTTAACATACCTGATGTGATGATGTTGGGAGGCAATAGTATAGAAAGATCACTAGATCAAGTTGCGAAATCATGGGGGGCTTGCGATATATTGAGTGGAGTTTCGTAATGAGATATGAGTTGCCCATTTTTAGTTCACTCGGTCTCTGCTGTCTTTGGTCGGAAAGCGAAATAAAATTCATCTCCCAATAGCCATCTAGATTCAGAATATGATGCCTATTAAAAGAAGGAGAAGATTCTCTAGACGAATAGTCCGCAACGATAGCTTCAAAGAGGCGGGGTTAGCCGAGGATTATGTCTTCCGGCTGGCCAGTCAGTCGATCTTCGATAGACTTATAACGATCTTGCAAGTTAGGGGTTGCTATCTCCTTCTCTGTTATAACGACAAACTCTAGCCTTTTCAATCTAGTGTCGATACCTGGACCCTTCTTCCACTCATCGAAAAGCTTTAGGAGAGCGGCTTCGTGGTCATTTTTCTTGACCCGAATCATCGCTTTACTCCTCTTGTCCACACCCTTCACTGCAATTCTCATTAAATAAAGCGTCTCGACGTTATGCCAGGACCGTGTAATGGTTTGCCAGCATGGTTCTGTTGCAGGAGGTAAGTTAGGTGACTCTGCTTGTATAGCTAAGCATCGCACCATAGAACGGTCACGTAGATCGTACTGGTGTCGAGCACAATAGCATCCACGGCAACCACCATGACAGGGCTCAAAAATTAAAATGTCATCAGCGGAAATAGCCTGGATTGTTCTAGTGTCGAAAGAACCTGCGGTTGGAATATACATGGCAAAAAGCTTCAGGTAATGGAGCCGCGCGACCCATCGCGACAGGCGGCATACATTAAACCAGGTAGGTTGTTCGTTCTGAACCCCAAATTGAGCCCCAGTATGCGATAGCGAATATCGGTTCATGATATAGACTAGACGTGGTTCTATGGCAGCTTCCCATATCATCATTTTGAGTTCGTCTGGAAGGTCAGAATACTTAGGAAAGTTAGTGAGCGGCTTCAAAAAGCGCGGCGAGCGGCGAACGTGTCTGCCAACACCAGTATGGGTAGTTTTAAGCCGTTTGGCTGGCTTTCGCGTTCGTTCTTTACTTTGGGGTTCGACGATCGAATTTGTAGCCTCTGGCATCATAATACTTCCATTATTGAGGCGAGCAGATCGACGAGTTAGTATTCGGAGCTGGCCAGTTAAAGGGTGTGATGTGGATGTTTCCTCTAGCGGCGATGATTCAAGAAGCTGAGCTTGATTCCCCACCGCGCCAGCCGCATCATCATTAACTTCGTCGAAGTCGCCAATCTGGTCATCCATAATAGAACTAACATCTCTCGAGTCTTCAAGTTTGGACACATTCAGATTGAATACGTGTTTCTTGGACGAGCCCTGCAGCCTCTCTCTGAGTGAAGTAGTAGTATACGGAATGGCATCAACTAAATCGGCGAGGTGGGTTTTGGTCATAGATCGTGTCACTGGACGGGTATAAGGCCCTGAGCCGGTTAGGGACGGTGGAAGAATGCTGCTATGTGCAGGCGTCGACATCATGGGCGAGTCCGTCATTTCGATGTCGTGAGGGTGGTCGGGCTGAAAATTCAAGCCTGATTCACGCTTCTTACCATTCACATGATTGTCCACCTGATTGTCTTCAATTCCATCTTCGACCTCGTTTTCGCCTGCCATTTTGAGTTTGGAAAACAGCTGCCCTCCGCTATTCTGCCGCTCTTGACTTGGATGTAACAAGACAACGTACTAGGTCAGGTACCTAGGTATATTCAATATCGTAGGTAAGATAGCATGAATGACCTCCGTTGAGGACATAAGTTGGTTGCGAAGTCGCAATAAATGTCGATTCCGACCCGGCTTTAATTGCGCACGTGGGTAAGAAGTCCTAGCGGGTGGTGGTACAAGCGTTAAAGCTGTGCGG